AAAATAAAAGAAATTAAGAAACAATCCCATTTATAATTGCACCCAAAACAACAAGATACCTAGGAATAAAACTAACCAAAGAGGTAAAAGAGCTATACTCTGAAAACTGTAAAACACTGATGAAATTGAAGATGACAGAAAGAAATGGAAAGACGTTCCATGTTCATGGATTGAAAGACCAAATATTGTTAAATGTCTATACTACTCAAAGCAATCTACGCATTTAATCCAATCCCTATCAAAATACCACCAGCATTTTTCACACAGCTAGAACAATCCTAAAATTTGTATGGAACCACAAAAGACCCTGAATAGCCAAAGCAATCGTGAAAAAGAAAAGCAAAGCTGGAGGCATCACAATTCCAGATTTCAAGTTAACAGAAAGTTAACTTTCAAGTTTCAGAAAACTCAGAAATATACCCATAAATCAATTAATCTTTGACAAAGCAGGAAAGAATATCCAATGGGAAAAATACAGTCTCTTGAACAAATGGTATGGGGAAAACTGGGCAGCAATATGCAAAAGAATGAAACTGGACCACTTTCAGGGTGCCTGGGTGGCTCAGCTGGTTAAACATCTGCCTTCAGCTCAGGTCATGATCCTGGGTCCTGGGATTGAGCCCTGCATCAGGTTCCCTGCTCAGTGGGGAGCCTGGTTCTCCCTCTGTTCCCCCGCTGGTGCTCTCTCTCTCTCTCTCTTGCTCTCTATCTCAAATAAATAAATAAAATCTTAAAAAGAAAGAAAGAAAGAAAAAGAAACCGGACCACTTTCTTACACCATACACAAAAATAAATTCAAATGGATTACAGACCTAAATGTGAGACCTAAAACCATAAAAATCCTAGAAGGGAACACAGATAGTAACTTCTCTGACATTGGTTGTAACAATTTTTTTCTAGATATGTCTCCTGAAGCAAGGGAAACAAAAAGCAAAAATAAACTTGGGGACTACATCAAAATAACAGGCTTCTACATAGTGACAGTGAAGGAAACATCAACAAAACTAAAAGCTATGGAATGGGAGAAGATATTTGCAAATGACATATCTGATAAAGGGTTAATATCCAAAATATATAAAGAACTTATAAAACTCAACACCTAAAAAACAAATAATCCAATTAAAAAAAGGACAGAAGACACGAACAGACATTTCTCCAAAAAAAGACATTCAGATGGCCAACAGACACATGAAAAGATGCTCATCATCACTTATTCTCAAGGAAATGCAAATCCAAACTACAATGAGATATCACCTCACACCTGTCAGAATGGCTAAAATCAAAAACATAAGAAAGAATTGTTGACAAGGACCCTCATGCACTGTTGGTTGGGAATGCAAACTGGTGTAGCCACTGTGGAAGACAGTATGGAGGTTTCTCAGAAAGTTAAAAATAGAACTACCCTATGATGTAACAATCGCACTATTGGGTATATTTACCCAGAGAATATAAAAGCACTAATTTGAAGGGATACATGCACCTCTATGTTTACTGCAGCATTATTTTCAATAGCTAAACTATGGAAGCAGCCAAAGTGTCCATTGATAGATGAATGGAGAAGGAAGATGGTGTGTGTGTGTGTGTGTGTGTGTGTGTGTGTGTGTATACACAATGGAATATTATTCAGCCATAAAGAAGAATGAAATCTGGCCATTTACAACAACATGAATGGAGCCAAAGAATGTAATGCAAAATAAGTCAGTTGGAGAAAGACAAATAATGTAGGGTTTCACTGAAATGTGGAATTTAAGAAACAAAACAAATGAGGAAAGGGAAAGAGACAGAGGGAGAGAGAGAGAGAAACTTAGACTCTTAACTATAGAGAACAAACTGATGGTTACCAGAAGGGAGGTGGGTGGGGGGGATGGGTTAAACAGATGATGGGGATTAAGGGGTGCACTTGTTGTGATGAGCACCAGGTGATAAGTGGAATTGTAGAACCACTATATTGTACACCTGAAACTAATACAACACTGTTTGTTAACTAACGAATTAAAATAAAAACTAAAAAGAAAGAAAGAAATCCTGTCATTTGCAACAATGTGAATGGACCCTGAGGGTATTATGTTAAGTGAAGTAAGACAGAGAAAGACACATACTGAATGATCTCACTTACATGTAGAACCTTAAAAAAAACAAACAAAAAAAGGACTCACAGATACAAAGAATACTGATGTTTGCCAGAGGCAGGTGGTGGAGGGCTGGCCAAAATGGGTAAAGGTGGTCAGAAGGTATAAACTTCCAGTTATAAGATAAATAAATCCTGAGCATGTAACCTACAGTATGGTGACTATAGTTAACAATACTATACTATATTTGAAAGTTGCTTAGAGAATAAATCTTAAAAGTTCTCACCACAGGAAATGAAATGTTACTATGTGTAATAATGGATGTTAACTAAATTTATTGTAATCATTTTGAAATATATAAAGAAATCATTATGTTGTACACCTATAAGTAATACAATGTTTGAGATATGTCAGTCATATCTCAAAACTAGTAATAAAATGTTCCTATCAAAAAACAAATCTGAAAATGTCAGCATCTTCAAATGCTTCTTTTACCACCAAATAAAGTCCAGACTCATTGGAGGAAGAAAAAAAGCCATTTCCATTTCTTAAAGATATTAAGTATATTGAGAGTCTTTTTAATTTCCCTGTGTTTGAACCCCCATCCTACTTGCTTTTCTATTCAATACTTTTATGATTCAATAACTTACACTAATTGACTCCTACTTCTGAGTTCCCACTGTGCTAGAGATGCTTTCAATAAACTCCTAAATTGTTATTCCACAAACTTCTTCATTGTACACAATGTCTTAAAATCTTAGCACCTCTGCTCATACAATTTTATGCCAAATTCATAATATAGCATTCTAACATAAAACTCTCCAGACTAATTTTTCGACTGCCTACTTTCTATAACCCCAATGCATCCAGAGTATAATTTTAAAATCTGGGTTTGCTTCCTCAGCTTCCTTATCTCCCTAGAGAGTTCATTGAAAATAACTGTTCCTGCTGAGCAAATTGCTTTTTTTCTCATTTCTATTCCCAAGCTCCAGTTCTTTATATAAGTATTTCAAACAGGAGACTCTCAAAACATATTTTGGAATTAAAACTCTGGTGCTTGAGGGAACTGTATATCCATATACACTCACAGTCTTCAGAGAAGTAGTGACTAAGGAAGAATTACATCTTATAAACATTTTCCAGTTACCTGACTCCTGTTTGATTTGAATGGTAGGCTTGATACCAGGTGGCAAAGGAGATTGCTGAGGCTGTTGCTGATGAGATACTGGAGCAGGTTGGGCCACCTGTTGCTGGGTCTGTTGCTGCACTTGATGTAACTGCTGCTTAGGAGACTGTTGATGCTGTTTAGGAAACTGTGCAAGAATCTGAGTTGGGGCACCTACTAAACTTTTGGGGGAAGGAAGTCTGGTTGATGCCATTTTGATCGCTGATGTAGATACGCCTGTAGAAGAGTAGGGGGAAAGAATTTAATAGTAAAGCACAGTTAAAGCTACTTCTTGTAGTAGGTGATAAAGACTAGGTAAATCAATAAAAACAATGATTAAGCACCTGTTAAATGTCATACATAATATGTGGTATTTACATATTTGACATACAGTCCTCCAACTTTGCAAGGAAGGTATCATTGCTCTCACACTCAAAAAAATTGATTTTCCCTTGGTGAAAGTTAAGAGTGAAAGATAAAATAACAGGAAGGATACTCACTTGTCTCTCAATAAGTTTTCTGTTGGAAAATACAGGTTCTAAATGTGAATAATATAAGAACACAGCAAACTAAGTTTTGAATCTTATTTGTAATACATTTTTGAAATATTACTTTTTAGGTTCCAATAAGTCAATTTAAATAAGGCAAGGAAAATATTTCACACTGAAACATTCATCTTTTGAACTATTCAGCATGGCAAAGTAGCTTTTCTAGATCTCATTTCTGATGATCTATAAATTAAAGTCAAGATGAGAACTCTATAACTGGGTCATTAAGTAACCTGTGAAAAATTACAAGTGGGCATACTCAATACATCCATAGCAAGACAATTCTAATGACATATGGAATTAAGACATTGCTTCTCAGGGCAATGCTAATCTTAGCGCATGCATAGGTAAGGAGTACCAGTAACTTCCACTAAAGATGTACGAGTTTGAGAGAAATTCTCCCCTCTCCCAGATATTTCCTCAGTAATTTTCTTATAATTCTTCAATAACAAAACAGGACTATTATCTATAAATGATTTAATTTTCCTAACAACCTGGAATATAACTCATCAACTTTTTGAGCACTGCTGAAATGAAATGAAACTCATAAATTAATAGCTCAATTGTCAAATTCTTAGACTATTTCATACCTTCTTCTTCCATACCCTTCATTATGAACAATTACATTGCATTATAGAAAAAATTTTAAACAATATCACATTCCTATCTAAAATGTTCTGGAGAATGATAAAGATGGAAAAGAAACCTTGAGAAGTCATTCTGATTCCCAGGGGCCTCAGCTCCCCCATCTGTTGAATTTTCCTTGCCCTATAGGTCTCTAAGGGTTGCTGTGTGGATCAGGTAAAATCACAGACTGAGGACTACTTTGAGAGACAAAAGGTGTAATCAGAATCACGGGGAGGGCTTACCCACATTACCTACACATTCTCTCACCTCACCCAAACCCAACCCTCTCCAAATACTAGTATTTGACATGTCTGTGTTATACTGCTTAGTTGTGCAGAACAAGATTATCTCTGGAGCCCCGTTTGGCACCAACATTTTATGACTCAATAAATATAAAGTTTTATACAAGTGAAAGATACTATTTTTAAACTATTTAAAAGCTCTAACCTTTATACTAAATTTATAATGAATTCCTGCATTGAGATAAACTCTGTACATGGTAAACTCCCTCTGTTCTCCAAATAGTTTTTTATAGTAAAAGTATGTGATGTAAAAGCAGTCAGGATAACTTTAGAATCTGAGAAGTATGTCCAAATCATGCCTTCAACATATAAACACATGAACAGCTGTATGATCTGACTGAAGTACTTAATCTGACTATTTGTTCATTCAGTAAAAATTTACTGAGCACAAACTTTATGCTAGATTCTTGGGAAACTATATTGTATCCATGAAACTGTCCTTACCCTCAGAAAGGTCACAAGAGAATATAATCAAATGATTATACAAATCTATTATTACAAACTGTAATGAAAGCTATTTTTGTTTTAACAAGTGAAAGGTCCTCTTCCTTTTGCCCTTTGTTTCCCAAACAATTCAGCACTAAAGTTGTCAGCTGGTGCAAAGCAAGATGAACAACTAGGCAGCTAAACAGAAGAGTGGCTTAGCATGAAATGTCAGAGCCCACTGCAGAAACAGGGCTAGCATGGAAATCAGAGTAAGATGAGGAGGGTGTCCATGCTGGGAAACTTAGGAGACAGCACGCATGTAGAGTTACAGCCCAAGTAAGACAGAGAGGAGTTCCATGAGTGTGAGCTACCTAACAAAGAGTCTCAAAGCTTGAGCAGAATGTCTACTGGAAGGGGTGGCTAAGGTAGTATCAGAATCCAAAAGAAATGAAAAGGCCTTCTGGGTGGGAGGGCAGCCTGTCACAGGTGTTAGAGCTGAGAAGGGTGAGACTGGCATCCATGCAGAAGGGTGATGTGGGGAGAGTGTCAGAAACAGGTGGGGTGATGCAGGAGTCTGCAGAATGTCAGAGCCTGAGTGGAGTGAGAAAGGCATCTGCATGGAGATGGGGGCAAGAGCAACAACAACAGACTGGTTGCATACCGGGGAACTGATAAAATAAGTAAATAAAAGATAATGGAAGTTAGGTTTTTCACTATTGAAGAAGGGAATGGAGAAAACTAGAGTTGTTTGATTGAAATTAGATATATGAGTATGAACCCATAGTTTTCATTATATAGAAATAAACATAGATATAAATATGTGTGCGTATAAATGTACACACATAACATAGCAGTAAAATATCTAGCACCCAGATTCTAGCTAATTATTACTTTCCACTAAAAGGAATCAGGGTTCCTTGGGAAAATGGCTGATCCCAGGGCTAGAGTAGGAAAAGTACAAGATGAGCTTGGTAAATATAAAAGAATTTTTACTCCTCTTTTGTTATGTCTTTAACAGGAAATTGACTGTTTAAAGCAAAAATAATAGCAGTGCAATGTGGAGTTTGTAACGCATAGAATTAAAATGAAGGACAACCATAGCACAGGATGAGAGAGAGAAAACAGAAGAGTACTATTGGAAGATTCTAACACAATATGGGAAGTGGTATATTACTTCAAGACAGACTGTTACAAATTAAAAACGCATAATGTAAGCTCTAGAGCTGAGTTCTCAACCAAGAGCAGCTTGCCCCTTCCTACTTCCAGCGGTGGCAATCACTGGAGACATTTTTCATTGTCACGACAGGGGCTATAGCTACCAGTATCTAGTAGTAGGCAGAGGTGAGAAATGCTATTAAATGTCCTATAATATGCAGGTTAGCCCCTCATAGCAAATAATTATCTGGCCCAAAATGTCCATATGTGAAGGTTGAACCCCAACTCTAGAACTATTTCAAAAATATAAAAAAAAGTATACACACACATAGACACACACACACACACAGCTAAGAAGCCTGTAAGAAGCCAATGGAAGAGATAAAATGAAATCCTTTTTTTGAAAAAATCAATAAATCCAGGAGATGAGAAAAGAGGGAAAAGGAAACAAAGAACAGAGAGGATGAATAAAAAACAATTATCAAGATAGTAGAACTTGAATTCAATCATACTGATAATTACATTAATTGTAAATAGACTCAGTAATTCAATTAAAAGGCAGAGATGGTCACGGATTTTAAAAAAGTAAGCCTTAACTATATAATGTTCCTAAGAGATACATTTTATTTATTTTTTTTTAAAAGATTTTATTTTTAAGTAACCTCTATACCCAACGTGGGGCTCAAACTTACAACTCCAAGATCGAGTCGCATGCTCTACTGAATGAGCCAGCCAGGTGCCCCAAGAGATGCATCTTAAACACAAAGGACAGATGGGTTAAAAGTAAAAGGATGAAAAAAGATATATCATGCAAACACTAATTATAAGAAAGCTGGATGGGGCGCCTGGGTGGCTCAGTCATTAAGTGTCTGCCTTCGGCTCAGGTCATGATCCCAGGATCTTGGGATCGAGCCCCGCATCGGGCTCCTTGCTCAGCCAGGAGTCTGCTTCTCCCTCTCCCACTCCCCTTGCTTGTGTTCCCTCTCTAGCTGTCTCTCTCTCTGTGTCAAATAAATAAATAAAATTAAATAAAATCTTTAAAAAAAAAGAAAGTAAGTTGGATGGCTACATTAATATCAGAAAAGGTAGACATTAAAACAAGAAGTATTACCAGAGGAAAAAAGCAATGCTTTATAAAAAGGACGTGACTTCATCAAGAAGAAACAAAAGTCAACTATACTTCACTAATAAAAAAATTTTTTTAAAAAGACAACAATCCTAAATGTGCATGCACCCAATAAAAGAGATCAAAATACATGAGACAAAAACTGACAGTGTTGAAAAGAGAAATGCACAAGGCCGCAGTGATAGTTGGGAGATTTTTACACTCCTCTCTCAGTAACTGATATTACAAGTAGACCAAAAAAAAAGATTAAAAAAAGGTATTTGAACAATTCTATTAACCAATTTAACCTCACTGATAGGTACAAGACTAAATTAAAAAATCAATTCTTCTAAAACCATTTACTAAATAATCTAATGCAGTATATACTCTTAGTTGCTTGGTTAATTTTCTTTCTCCTCTGCCTTTTGTCCTTTCTAACAAAAACCATTTTCTCCCCTCAAAAGGATCCACCTTCCTGGGTACTGCCATTTATTTTTTGGAGGGCCCCAAATCAGCCCTAGAGGGCAATTTCCAACTGATCTAAGCCAGTCATGATGGCTCCATTCCTCTTGCCAGGGACTAATTTAGGTTGGGTTTATGACACAGTTGTGGCCAACAAGACACAAGATCCTTCTCCTGGGAACTTCTGGGAAAGGTATTCTCTTTCCTAAGAGAGACTCACAAAAGGGGACTGTCTCTTCTTCCTGTGCCCGTTGTCATATCTGGATGCAATACATGAAATTGTGCACTCATCCTGCAACCATGATGTGAGCTACCTCAGAAAAAAGCTGACACACCAAGGAAAGCCTAGAAGAAACTTCTTGATGGCTCCAGTGAGCTACTATTTAATTTAATTGGACTTCTCTGCTTCTGGACTTTTGGTTTTATGAGATAATAAATTTTCTTATTAAAAACAAATTGCTCAGTCAGATTTATGTAAAGTTATTCAATTACTTATCGAATTTGCAATTCAAGTTATATATTAATAACCCAGGGCTCCATAACAATCAAACATCTGAATGCCAAAAGAATATAGGCTACAGTGAATACCACTGAAGCAAACATAATAGGCCA